AGAAGTGGTGGACCGTGGTCAATCCGCGCGCTTCTGTCTCGCTCAGAGGAGGGAATCGAGGCAAATGAAGTTTTATTCATTAAATAGAAGGAATTTCCAAATTTTTGCGTAAACCAATACATCATTTTAATCGTAAAGATTTCTACTTTCAGAAACCTACCAATTTTTTCGATCTCTCAATTTTCCTTACCTTATAATCTGAAAAACTAAACCTTGTAGCAATTACGTTGCAATCCAAACCCCTCCATTCAGAAGGTTATTTTTTTCAGAAGCGGTCTCATGGAACCGGACACCAAAATTTCAAAAATTCAAATAGTTTTCTTCCAAAAAGTATTTGAAATGTTACGATGTTCAATATTTCAAAAAATCGTCCCGTTGTTCCGTTTTTGTGCACACGCGAGTTTTCGACATTCAAACATTCATAACTTTCTTCATAATCAACTTTTTGCAGATGTCTAAGGCTAATTAGAAACTAGAAGATTAGAGCTTTCGAATAAGTGCTAAAACTTTTGAAATAATCACTCGCTCAAAAAATAGTCCCGTTGTTCCGTTTTTTCCACCTTGATTTTTTTCAAGCCATTTTCCTGGACCGCGACTATGCAGTCTTCAAAGGCCCATAACTTCCTTCAAAATTAATGTGATGAGAAGCGGTAAAGACTGTTAGAATCTACTCGAAGAGTACTTCATAACAAGTGTGAAATTTCCTGAAATTCTTTCTTCTGCCTCAATTTTCCTAAGGGGTCTCTAGAATTCAATTCAGCAAATTCGCTACACTTTGTTCCGCTTAGATTTGATTTGAAAGCATCGAAATTCTCTTCAGGAAGTTTGTCTGCTCACGGCCGCTGACAGAGAAGGCGTTTTGGCACTATTTAGCCCTTTACTGCCCCACTCCTCAAGAACTGAGCCGGATTTTGATCGAAATTCGTCCATGACTAAGGATTTGGCTAGAAAGTTGTTTTCGGGGTATTTCGACCCGTAGAACACGAATATCACACCGGTTTAGCGCGACAACGCTTGGCGCCGGCGCTATCACAACAGTTTTGCGCGGGCGCCCGTAGCGCAGGCTACAGGCTCACTCGCAACGAACTAATGTGATATTCATGTTCTACGGGTCAAAGTACCTCTGAAGACAAGTTTCCAGCGAATTTGGTGATCCGAGATGTTCTGGCGCCTTTTGGCGCCGGCGCTTCTGACGCGAGCGCCAGGCGTTCTAGCGGTGAACGAATGTGATATTCGTGTTCTACGGGTCGAATTACCCCTGAGCTTTTGTTCAACCGAATGTGACTCCCTCGTTATTCTTTGCGCAACGGACGGTTGATCTTGGCCGTGAGCAGACAAACCTACAAAGAAAATTTTGGTGCTTCCAAATTCAAATCTAAGCGGAAACAAAGTGTAGCGAACTTGCTGAATTGAGTTCTAGAAACCCCTTAGGAAATTAAGGCAGAAGAAAGAATTTCAGGGAAATTTTACACTTTTCTTGAGTACGCAGATTCTAACAGTCTTTACCGCTTCTCATGTGAATTTTGAAGGAAGTTATGGGCCTTTGAAGATTGCAAAGTCGCGGTCCAGGAAAAGGGTTTGAAAAAAGTCAAGGGAAAAAACGGAACAACGGGACTATTTTTTGAGCGAGTGATTCTTTAAAAAGTTTTAGCACTTATTCGAAAGCTCTAATCTTCTAGTTTCTAATTAGCCTTAGACATTGCAAAAAGTTGGTATGAAGAAAGTTATGAATGTTTGAATGTCGAAAACTCGCGTGTGCACAAAAAACGGAACAACGGGACGATTTTTTGAAATATTGAACATCCGCAACATTTCAAATACTTTTTAGGAAGAAAACTATTTGAATTTTTGAAATTTTGGTGTCCGGTTTCATGAGAGCTTCTAAAAAAAACAGAAAAAAAATATAACCTTCTGAATGGAGGGGTTTGGATTGCAACGTAATTGCTACAAGATTTAGTTTTTCAGATTGTAAAATAAAGAGGATTGAGAGATCAAAGAAACCTGTTAGGATTCTAAATGTAGAAATCTCTATCAATAAATCATGTATTGGTTTACGCAAAAATTGGAAATTCCTTCTATTTAATGAATAAAACTTCATGTTGCCTCGATTTCCTCCTCTGAGCGAGACAGAGCGCGCGGATTGACCACGGTCCACCACTTCTCCATGTTGGTGACTGCCCACACATCAATGATGAGCATTAAATTATGTGAAAGACATAATAGTTAATGGGGGTCGTACCGATACCCTCCGAAAAGGAAGGGGGTCGTAAAAATTTTGGAATTTGCGCAACGCAGGGTTGACCCTGCTTACAACCTTATAATAACTCATCAAAACCTGATCCCGACTTTGCCTTTGAAAGGGCGTAATATCAACATGGGGTATAAGCATGGATTCATAATGGGACTTTGCAATCGAAAATTACCACCGTTCCCGCAGACCGAATGCAATCATTATGAGTTTTATAGCGGAACGTGACAAATTTCGTTTGCTTCAGTGCCTAGCTCTTTTTCAGGAAGGCGTATCATTCGTGATCAATCACATAATTTATTGTGCCCATTGCTTGTGGGAGGCACACGCCAGATTGACACCAGTACTTTACAACAACAATGAAAAGAGCGAAACATAAGAGTAATGTGAGAAAAGTTGTTCTCAAATAAGCGACTGTGAGGCATTTTTGACTCTCCTGCATATCTTCAACTAGAGAAAAAAGGACTAGGATTCGGGCTACATGTTGTCTGCTCGAACCTTCTCTTGAATACGCTTTTAGCCAAGCAATTCGGTGATGGGGCTACCGTTCTAGATAGATACGAAGCGGCCTCTACTGCAGCGAATATCTACACACTATGAGTCAGCACTTGGATAGGAAGAATAGTTGTCAATCTCCAAAGCACCCAAAAAATATCTGCAATCTCTTTAACTCTAACGCCATGAATAACAGAACAAATTAGTGAAACAGAATTTCATTATTCCGCTTTTTATACCTTTGAAATGGCGTTGAGGCGATCGATACTCTATGTTTGTGATGTAGTGCCACGCGGGCTTGTATTTGCAACCTCAAACTTGGGTAATTAAACTTCATGTAACGAGGAACGATTAACACAACATCGTCAAAGTAACAAAATATCAGCAACGTAAAAAAACAACATCTTCTGAGTACCGGTAAGAGTTATGAGGCAGAGACCAACATTGAGTATCAGAATAATGAGCGAACAACAACATAACAATATAGGATTAGGCACAGGTCATTTAATAACCGCAGTGAGGAATAAAGAATACTTCAGAACAAAACCGCTAAATAGAGTGAGAGGAACAGCTAAAACAAGAGTAAGCTTCGCAAGAGGGTAGGCATGGGTAATGGGTAATTCGCACAACTGCTGAATGTATCGCAGTTATGCGCAAAAGCTATCGGGAGGGCGCGGGGAAGAAGCTGGGAAGTGAGTTCTCGATGTCCCTCGAGGCTCTTTTATAGCGCCCTTTGGCGCGCGATCACGACATAAGGTGACCGCTCCTTTGACTGGCTAATCAGACGATCGGTCAATGACATCGCGGTGTTTCCGCGATACTCCGGCCCACAAAAAGTTTTTTTTCCGCAGATTCGCACAATTTGATTATTCTTCAGTTTCTGGCTTCTCGTAGTATACGTAGCTTGCGGAGCCGTTCGTGAAGATCATCCATCTCGAGTTCGCAGTGTCTTTTTTCTGCCTCGATCTGCAGCGAAGTCTCCGGTAGTGTACAAACGGCGGAGTGGTGGCCACGTTGTTTGCAATGGAAACACGGGATTCTGCTCTTCGTGCAACTTTCGCCTCGTTCGCAGTCGATCTCTAAACAGTTTTTACATCTTCCTGCTTTGGTGAGATATTCTCGTCTTTCAACTCCTGTGCGGATACGGCCGCATGAGTCTGAGTAATGGCGTCCGTTTACTCCGCAAAAAACACAGCGCATCTGTCGTTCTTCACGACGATAAACACCTGCCCTGTATTCTCGGGGGCGACACGTCCTTTTGCGTGCGAGTTCGCGTCTGTGACGGCTGACTTCTGCTAAGTCGGCTTCCAACGCTTCAATCTCTCTATCAAGCGCTGCGTCTTCGTCTTCCATGTCTTCGTCGGCTTCGGCTGTTTCCATGAATTCGGCGTTGTTTGCTATTATTGCTCGTTCTTCATTTATTCTAGCTTCGATTGCGACGGAAGCCATTTCTGGGCGTGGCGCGTTCTGAACTGCTTCCAAACGTTCGATTTTCCCGTGCATTTGCTTCATTGTTTCTTCCATTGTCTTTATAGCGTTCAGGATCTCTTTCTGAGTTGTTTCCTGCAGCGTTCGTTCTTGGGTTAGGCAATCGGATTTTAATTGTCGAAGAGTATCGAAGAATTCTTCAATTCCCTGGAGTTGATCCTTGATGATTTTTTCCATATCCGATTGACTAATCAGTAGAGGTTTTTTGTGGCCGTCGTGCGAGGTGTATTCTTGAGGGATTTCCATTCTTGACTGCCATGCTCCCATTGATGTCGCCTTCGTCGCAATAAGGAGAGGAACGGTGGAGTACAACAAGCATAAGTGTTTAGAAAGGAATTGGAGACGAGTTTTACAATTCTCAACTCTTAGCTCAATAATGTACGCATCACGCTCTAATTCACTATATGATAAATTGCGATGATAGAAAACATTGACGTCCTGTTTGAGACGGTCGAAACGTTCGATGGTGTGCATGACGTTATGCAATTAATCACGATGTCGTCGTGTAATTTGCTTGGTGGTGGTAGCGGTGGTAGTGCTGCCTCGTTTGAGTTCTTTTTTGACGTTTTCGTAACGCTTGTCCATGTCTAAATGTTGATGGATATACGTTGGTGTTGTATGAGAAACAGTTATTAATGATTGATTCTAATTGTGTTCACTATCGCCTTATTTTGCTACTTCGAATGATGCGAGAGGATGGTGCGCTTAGTAGTAACATTTTTTTGCTTATTATTACATTTTTGTTTGTGAGAAATTCGCAGAATTGAAAGAAGGAAATACCGTGAATATTGAAGACCCATGAGATAATGTAAAAAGAAATGAAAGAAAGAAATACCGATGAAAAGCATGAAAAATAGTAATGCCGCTATGTGAAGTTCGATAAGGTATTCGCAAATTTTACCTCAGATTATTAGGCGGAAATCCGATGTGGTGGAGTTGTTTGATGTTTCGCTTGACTTTGCAGAAGCGCGTTCCGTTCCTAGGTAAAGTCGCATTTAGATGGCGTTGAAAACTTTTCGCAATTGAGTACTACCTTAATCGGTTTCCCGAGTTTCGTAATGGATTCGCAATGGCGTAACTGATGAAGAATTTGCCAGAAGTGCTGAAGTGAGAAAGTTCAAAATGAGTCGATGATCTTGTTTATATAGAAGAGATACCTTTAGCGCGGTGAAATACGACTATCGTCTCGCGTATTAATTGCAGTGGTTGTCTTCAATTCGACCCTAAACTCATAACTGATGAGGGAGAAGGATAGCTGTAGCAAGCGTACATGAAAGAATAAGACAATGGGAGACAATAGAATAAGATACCATGAAGTGAAAACACCATGAATGAAATGGGAAATGATAGCTTGATTACAAAAGTAATGAAATGTTAGGTCCTTGTTTTTGTTTTTATGGAAGGCAATTTTGATTTTGCCATAAGCAGTGAGGCTTTTTCTGGATTGAATATATATGCGCATGATGCCATCGCAGTTTCGCTGGCGTCCGCAAATACTGCTATATTTGTAGGGTGCTTTGTAGGGATTACTCTTGTGAGAGCTTTTCGAAATCCATGCGTTTCCTCTCGCATTTTCGCCCAAATTTCGCATAGTGATGGTGGCAGTTCTTGATCCCATGCATATCCTTCTTTCCATAGTCTTTGCTGGAATCGCTTCAGCGGTAGAAGTAGTGGGACTAACCATCCCAAAGGGTCATATATTGAAGCTATTTCTTTAGCTATCATGCGTTTGGTTGGTTTTAAATTGTTCGCCAACTCGCATTTTATTGATAAGGTATCATTGTCCGAGTTCCATAAAATACCCAGAACTTTCTGTTCTGTTTTCTTCGAACATATTTCTGCTGGAAGTTGTCCTTGGACTGTTTTCGAGTTTGTTAAAAACTCACGAAGATTCATGTTCATTTCTTGGAAAATGCTTCTTGCGGTAAGCGATTTGTTCAAGATGTCTTCGCTCTTATCGCCCATGAGGATGAGGTTGTCGACGTAGAGGTTTTCGCTAATTTCGCACGCTAGTTCTGCGTTGTTCACCTCGTGTTCAATGTGGTATAAAATGGTAGCTGCTAGGAGGAACGGAGAGACGTTCAAACCGAAAGTGACTCTGGTGAACCGATAAGTCACTACATTTTTTCCTTCTGCCGGTTTGTTCACATCTCTTATCCAGAGACATCTTGTTACATCCCTGTCGCATTCATTCAGTCGTACTTGTAAGAAAGCTTTCTCAACATCTGAGATGGCGACATAAGGCTTCACTCGGAATCTCAAAAGCAATCCGTATAGGTCTGGCAGTATGAGAGGTCCTTGGTGAAGCACTTCATTCAACGATGGATATCCTTTCAAATGTGAGGAGGCGTCATAAACTATTCGCAGTTTTGTGGTTTCCTTTTGCGGTGTCAGCACAGGTTGATGTGGCAGATAATGTACCAATTCTGAGTCGCTTGTCACGTGCTCCTGTACCTCTTCTAATACTCCCTTTTCAAGTTGATCTTGAAATGTTTCGTGATATTGTTGCAATATTTTGGGTTTCGTTCTGAGAATGTTCAGTACGCTTGTTAAGCGGCGGAAGGCTAGCGCCCAATTTGTAGGCAGTGTCATCTTGTTCTCTTTGAAGGGGAGTCGCACGTAATATCCGTCTTCTCGTTTTTCGATGGTGTCGTTGAAAATTGTCGCACTTTCGCATTGACTTGAAGCTTTTCTGCGTACTTGGTTCCTGTGAATTCTTCGATACCAGCGGAATCTAGGGACCAGTATGTGTCCCATTGATTTACTTCGTCCGATATTGATATTTCTTCTGAAGTCGCACTGTTTTGAATTGCTTTTTGTTGATTCTGATATTGCTTGTTCGCACCACTTCGCTCTTGAC